GAAACTGAAGGAGGGGTCGCTATAAGTCGGGTCCAACTCGACGGCACATAACAACAACAACAGTGTGGAAAGAGGCTTAGGAAGGATAATTAGTGTGCCCTGGTTCACACAGCTGGCAACAGTGATGCTGAGACTTGGGTCTGCTTTGATGCCAGCAGGAAACTTTCTCTCCTGTTCACTCCTGGATCCCAGTGTCTGACAGATAGTAAGCCCTCAAATATTTGTCAGTTGAACTGAATTTTTGTGCGTGAATATTTTCATTACTATTTCATGCCATCAAGTCATACCCTAAATACAATGGAATGAAACACTGTCCGGTCCTGCCCCACCCTCACAGTTGTTGTATCAGAGCCCTTTGTTGCAGCCACTCATCTGTCAGTTTGTCACACTGTGGTGGCTGTATGTTGCTGTGATGCTGGACGCTTTGCCACCAGTATTTCAAGTATCAGTAGGGTCACCAATGGTGGGCAGGTTTCAGCAGAGCTACCAGACTAAGGCAGACTAGAAGGAAGGTCTGGCGGTCTACTTCTGGAAAAATGGGCCAGTGAAAATGTTATGAATTATTATTTTTAGTATAGCACTCTGTGAAAATTATTTTCTGTTCTAATTCTCAGTGTGCTTTAAGACGTTCTTGAGACATGATTTGAGTAAATGCAAGTGTTTTAATTCAGTTATATATTATTCTTAGGAACATGAGAGAATTTCAAGAATCCATGAAGAGTTTAAGAAAAAAAAGAATGTGAGTATAACAGTTTCTTCTTCAAAGTGTATTCTGATCCAGGTGCACGAGAGTTAAGTGATAGACTTAGATTCTTTTAGCTATAGTATTTTTTTCTGCTCTTTTATTTTATTTTTTTGTAATGGGAAGTGAGTGAATGAATGCTGGATGCCTGTGCTTCTCATCTCTGTCCTGATCACTTTCTGCTGTGTCCTGCTTTAGCAACCTGGGGAAATGAGCACCAATACATAACTCCCCACCCACATTTCCTTCAAAAACAGTGTTTCTCTTTCTAACTCCACCTTAGCTTGATCTCACAAACCAGAATAGGCTGGAGAGAGTTCTTATTAGTGTTTCCTATACAAAAGCCTGGTGGTTCAAACCCACCAGCCACTCCTTGGAAGGAAGACTGGGCAATCCACTTCCATAGAGGTACCACCTGAGAAACCCAACAAGGGGTTGCTATGAGTTGGAATCAACTCAACAGCAGTGAGTTTTGTTTTTGTTTTTTTTTAAATACATATTATTTACTTTTTTATTCATTTCAAACTAATAAAGTTTCCTCAGAACTATAGAGAGTTTAACGTTATTCAACAGATTTTTAAATCTTCCAGGAAGGGTTATTTTCTGGGTGATAATGTGTGTTTCTGTGTTCTACTCTGAGGAAGTCAGAGGCTGAAATAATGGCTGTGCTTCTTTTACAGAATCCTACGTTTCTGGAAAAGAAAGAACGCTGTGATTACCTGAAGAATAAACTTTCTCACATAAAGCAAAGAATTCAAGAGTATGATAAAATAATGAATTGGGACATACAAGGTTATTCTTAAACTATTTGAAACTACTTTTTTTTTTAATGGCACATTTAATATTTATTTACTGCCTTTTTTAATGCTAGTCTCTGTGGTAGAGAAGCAGTTCCTTTCTGAGTCAGCTTCTGGTTGGTTTAACCTGCATGCAGTGTTAAACAGTGTGGTTTCACTCAAATATTTCAAAACAACTTCAGATGTACTGAGGCCTTTACTGACAATGGAAGAATTCCTCTATTCATTTCTGTACAATTTCGTATTTCTCGTTAGAATGTTGAAATGATTGTGGCGTCATATCCTTGTGATGTGATGAGCAAATGTACTGTCATTTCTGGTGCTGCCTTGTCTTTTTTTTTTTTTTAAACTCAGGCAGGTTCCTAAGATTTTTCCCAGACAAATTTCTCTTCCTACTCAAAGGTGTCATTTTTTTCTCCTTGAAAGGCAATTAAATCCAAGGTCACTATTTACAAGCTTTGTGATCTTGACCAAATTGCTTGATACCTCTATGCCTGTTTTCTCATCCCTAAAATGAGGCTAATGATAGCACCTACCTCATAGGGTCACTATGAGGATGCAGTGAGTTCGTAAAGCACCACAGGCCTGGCACATTATAAGCATTTTATTGTTGTTGTATGTCGTCGAGTTGATTCTGACTCCTGGCGACCGTATTGGACAGAATAGAACTGCCGCGCAGGCTTTCTTAGGCTGTAACCTGTCTCCAGGTCTGTCCTCCCGTAGAGCCCTTAGGGTTCCAATTGCTGCTCTTTCGGTTAGCAGCCGAACTGCTGCTTAACTATTGTGCCACCAGTTCACCCTGCTGTGTGTGAAATCTATAGAAGTGTTTCTGCAATGAGTGGACGACATACAATGAGTCTCAAGAAAAGATCTTTAATAAGTAAACTCAGCCAGCTAACCAGAAAGGCATGTGTGTCTCATGACTTTTGTTTTCTATGCTCTTAACTCTTACTGCACGTAGCCTTGGGCAGACGCTTCCTTGTAGTTCTGCATCACTGGGGCAGATTACAGCCTTCTTATCTTTAATTGGTGTCACTGTGAAAACATCACCAGGTTCCCACAGCCCAGCCTAATCTGCACACACCTGTGGAAGGATGTGGGCAGGTAGTTGCCCTTTTCTGTCTCTTTGGACATCTGTCCTAAGGCCCCATGATGTTACATTGACTTGGGATCTCCTTTTAATTTATTGGGATGCTCCCTCTTCCCATTGGCTTCAGGGCCTTACTTGTGATAAATGTTTTCTTTTTGTTAGTGTAAGCAACAGGCTGCCTAACAAAATGTTAAGAATCATTATTGGGTCCTACTCAGTAGCATGTATTTGTAGGTAATTTCCCAAGTATAGAATTTCAGTTCCTGCTTAATATAGCTGCCATTCAAACAGCGAAGCATTTTGAGGACTAAGGTGCTCCTGGCCCAAGCAATGGTATTTTCATTCGCCTCATATACTTGTGAAAGCTGGACAATGAATAAGGAAGACCGAAGAAGAATTGATGCCTTTTGAATTAGGGTGTTGGTAAATAATACTAAATATAACATGGACTGCCAAAAGAATGAACAAATTTTCTCTTGGAAGAAGTACAGCCAGAATGCTCTTTAGAAGAGAAGATGGTGAGACTTCATCTCTTGTACTTTGGACAGGTTATCAGAAGGGACTAGTCTCTGGAGAAGGACATCATGCTTGGTAAAGTACAGATTAGCGAGAAAGAAAAAAGGTAGACCGTTAACGAGGTAGATTGACCCAGTGGCTACAACGGCGGGCTCAGACATAGCACCGATTGTGAGGATGGCGCCGAGCTGGGCAGTGGTTCATTCTGTTGTACACAGGGTTGCTGTGAGTCAGAACTGACTTGATGGCAGGCAGTTAACAACAACAAACAGTGAACGTTCAAAGAGTTTTCTAAAGTGATGAAACTGTAGACAGTACAGCATGTGGAAAAGCAGAGGCTTAAAAAGTATTGATTACTGAATGAACTTCTCAGTTTTTCTTTGTCAATAAAATCTTACTTAGTGTTTATTGATAATATCTTAATGCCATGGTTCTCAGACTGTGCTTAAAAAGAAAAAAAAAAACCACCAAACTTACTGCTGTAGAGTCTATTCCAACTCAGAGTGACCCCCATTGGGTTTCCGAGGCTGTAAATCTTTTCGGAAGTGGATCACCCCATCTTCCTTCCACAGAGCAGCTGGTGGGTATGAGCCACTGACCTTCTGGGTAGAAGCCAGACGCCTTATCCATTATGCCACCAGAGAACACAGACTGTGTGTAGGGCCTTAAAAGTTTTATAAGAGGGGATATCTACAAAAGCTTCATTGTCTGTTTTGTACGTCGGAAGTCTGTGTTAACATTTTGCTTAGGAAAAGTGCCACTGCTTTAAAAAAAAAACAACCTGAAATACTACTATTTTTGTAGACTTTAAAGAGTTAGATTAATAGTGAAATGAAGTGTTAAGGAAATTTAACTTTGCAAAACTTTATTTTACTACAATCGTAAATATTAATCGGAAAACCAATGTTGAATGGTGATTTTTAAAAATGTTTTTGTCAATACCTAAGCATATTGAAATTTCAGTTACTTACTGCTTTGTGTATGCCCTCTATTGTTTGTTTTTCTGGCATTCCTGTGTTCACTGGGCATGCTACTTCTTGAAAATATTTTGCTTTTCAGAAAATAAACGGGAAAGTCATTGAAAACCTGTAGGTTATGATGTTCTAGTGACTCCCCTTCCTTTATTTGCAACAATTGAAAGTCAGGGCCACCTTTGGTAAAGTTGTGAGATTTCGTGTTCCTGATCTTTCTGTTACCTGACTTTAACATGTATTCTGTCTTGAAATATAATTAATATAAAGATACATCACTGTATCTAATACTTGAAGAGCGGAAAGTATATGTTCTTTATGCATTCATTTGCTGATTGTTTGTCAAATACTTTTGTTGCTTGACATTCTAGCACTGAAGATACAGTAGTCAATGAAACAGGTACAGACCCTGGAGTTATTGTCTAATAAAGAAACCAAACCCACTGCCATTGAGTAGATTCCAACTCATAGCACCCCCTATAGGGTTTCCAAGACTGTAAATCTTTTTTTTTTTTTCTTTTTTTCGTGTGTGATTTGGGTGAAAATTTACAGAGCAAATTCACATTCCATACAGTAGTTCACATACACTTTGTCTCATGACATTGACTACAGTTTACCCCAATGCAACAGCTCCCCTCCTACTTCCTCCCAACAGTTACCTCTTCCCCAGTGTCCATCCCTCCATGGACTCCTGCCCCCTAAGCTGTCTCCCTGTGCATAAACAGCCCTTCTTTCTCCCATGATTGTTTTCTCCAAGGAGTGTATCTACCTCAGGTAAATGTTCAACACATATGCCTGTCTTTTGTTTGGCTGGAAGCCACAGGTGTGGGTTCAATTCCAGACCTGAAGGGCAGCTAGGGGCTATAGTCTCAGTGGTTCCACCAGGCTCTATCAGACCAGCAAACCTGGTCCCCCCTTATTTTTTTTCCAAATGCTTTTGAGTTTTGTTCCACATTGTTCTCCCTCTTATTCAGGATCTCCTACATAGATCCCCCTCCAAGTGGTTGACAGTGGTACCAAGGCTGTAAATCTGTACAGAAGTAGATTGCCTCATCTTCCTCCCATGCAACAGCTGGTGGGTTTGAACCTCTGACCTGGTTATCAGCAAAATGCCACCAGAACTTCTTTTTGTCTAATGGTAGCTATAAATGTACACATCCTTGTTATGTGCATTCTAGAAATGGTTTGTGTGGTGAACCTGACATTGAAATATACCAAAATTCAAAAGATATATAACATAGGGGGAAAAAAATCTATGTATACTTTTTTCTAAGTCACATATAATCTTTTAATTTTTTTTTACTATTATAAAAGTAATACTTGATCACTTAATTTAAAAAAAATAGTATAAAAACTTACAAAATAGAAAACGGAAGTCCTACCGTTATCAATTCCATTCCCCAGCAATATGTACTATGTTTGGAGCATATCCTTCTACACGTTTATATGATACATATAATCATCTTTAAAGTGTCTGTTTTAATGCTTTAATCCTGTTTTTAAAGAAAAGTATCAAAAAGGCTGCACCAACATGTGACTGTGCAAGTACCCAGTAATAGAAACCTGCCAAGGATAGAGAGTTGGAGCAACAGAAGATAGGTTTATTGAGCTATAACTCAGATACTATGCAATTCATTCATTTCAAGTATACAATTCCAGGTGTTTAGTATATTCACCGATACGTGCAGCCATCACCAATTTTAGAACATTTTCATCACCTTAAAAAAATGCCTTGTACCCGTTTAGTTATCACCTTCCTTTTCCCCCATCTATACCTCCAGTCCTAAACAACCACTGCTTTGTGTTTCTATAGATTTTCCTATTCTGGACTTTCATATTAACAGAATCAATAATATGTGAACTTTTGTGCCTGGCTTCTTTCGCTTAGCATCATGTTTTTAAGGTTCATTTTTATGGCTGAATAATATTGCTTTGTATGTGTGCTCCACATTTTGTTTAGCCATTCATGGGCATTTGGGTTGCTTCTGTCTTTTGGCTAATATGAATCATCCTGGTTTGAACATTCATGGGGATATGTTTTTATTTCTTTTGTCATATACTGAGGAGTAGAATCTCCGAGTCATTTGGTAACTCTACCAGTAAAAAGCAGCTTTACCACTTTACATTTCCAGTATATGAAGGTTCCAATTTCTCCACATCTTCACCAGTACGTGTTGGTATCTGACTTGTTTATTCTAGCTTTCCTAGTGGGTGTGAAGTGGTATCTCACTGTGTTCATTTGATTTCCCTAACTACAAATAGTATTGAGCATTTTTTTCACAAGCTTATTGGCCATTTATATATATCTTCCTTGAAAATGTCTATTCAGATCTTTTGTCCATTTTCAATTGTACTGTTTGTCTTTTTTTAATTTTTATTGTGATTTGGGTGAAAGTTTACAGAGCAAATTAATTTAATACAGCAGTTCA